ATGATTCGAACCAACAATGCTTCGACTGCCGGTTTCAACAGTCAAACGAATGATCCTTGTTGATGAGGAGGAGAAAAAAAGTACTAAAACAACCAAGACAAAGAAACCACCACCCACTTGCCGTCTTCTTCTTTTTCGTGTCTCGGAGTCACTCACTCGCACACCGCAGTACCCACGAGGAAACGATGCCGCCCACTAATGACGGTGAGTTGTCGAGGAAGAGTTATGCCGATGTCATTAATAATTGGCACAAGTTTTTCCGCGCAACCTGTGCGTGTTCACCGCCGCTGCTGTCGCCATCTCGCGAAGAGACACGACCAACAAACGCAAGTCTATTGACACAAGACGCTGAAAGTGATGAGCACCTATCAGTGACGGACGAAGCTAACCAAATTCTTTGTCCGTGCGTGCTACAAAGTTACCCTACGATGTTACAGAAAACGTCTACACAGAAAACGTTTTCATTCTGAGCGAAAGTTTTCATCGACAGGCTTTTAATCTGAAGCCTGAAAGACGGCAAATTTCTGACCGTCCATAGAAATATAGTACCAATGGTCAGACAGGAAATTAAAAGAGCTTTGGAGATCAAAAATGAAACTGATTTTCAGTACAAATAAAATATTCAACAGATTATACCATAAAAACAATATCTAGTTCTTTTTTAGGGTGTACCCTTCTATAAGAGGATTTGCTGCTCCAGCCAACTGCCTCCACATGTTTTATTTCCGTCATATCTCTGGCCACTTATGCCGCTACGCTTTCTTTGGTGTTCACCTTCTTTTCTTTCGTGGCAGTACCAATGTTTAGAAAAGGTTTCCGACGTACTCGTCGGATCTTATTTTCAGGAGGTCGAATCAGGAGGGCCTGCTTTCGATCAGTATTCCTGAAATTGGTGCCTCACCTAAAGTGCCTTTTATGAAGTCGTTCCGGATATGGCCCTTTTGCTGGCATCACACATCTATATGAGCATCCTCATTTATACGGAATTCAACTGTTGTCACACGGCCCACTGCGGCAGCATACTTATTCGCTATCATCGCGCTGCCATTGGACCTGACGGTATCTTCTAGAGCAAACTTTGCCAGCAGTCGAATCGCCATATGCTCTAGCACTGTCATCACATTGTGCGCAATTGGCTATTGATCAGGTTATCTGCTTATTTCGCAAATGACCTTCATATCTGACGGTCTAATTCCTGTCTGCAAAGTGTGGATGCGTTCGACAGCATCTTGCCTTGCCTGACATGGTCGGACCGACATACAGTCAATGCAAATTTTAAACATGCTTTCCACAGTAAATAAAAGGACAATTAGAGCCATAAATGAAATGAAAATCTAAATACTTTAAAAATAATGTTCATATGGTTTTAAGCGAGATCTTAATTCGACATAAGACAATTCCTGTATATTATTTTTACAATATGACCGGTTATCTGCATCTCAGATCATATTTTAATCGGTCTTCAGGTAGTGAAACATATATTTGCTTGACGGCCTGAAGACCAGTCAACTGTGTTGCGAAACGCTGGATATTTACTGCACAATAAAATTAGAATGTAACATGTGATGTCGCTCCATAGCAGTCTTTGTTCGATAAATTATAACAGAATTAAAATTATAATTAAGCATCCTTGTCATGTGCATTTTTCAAATCACCATTGCACGAGGGCTTTTCAAAGATTTCGATACAGAACTACGTCTCTCCAACTCTGTCCTCTTTTCAAAACTGAGCCACGAGCATTCCTACCGGTCGTTTGCTGCCTCTTGGAACTGAGGCAAACTGTCCCGTGGACCAACGACGATCTGTTCTTCTTATAATATGTGCCACTCGTTGTCATCTCAACTATTCGGCTCTGATAATCACATGTGCGACGCCAGTTTGCGCTCTAATTCATTCGTTCGTCTCGTTGTTATTCAAAACAGCTTCGATGCTCTGTTATGACATTATGACCGACATCATTAACCGTCTATCATTATCGTCATGGGAACTTGTCAAAAAGACAGTATTGCAAGGTTGCATTTTTTACAAGAAAATTTTCCACATGCAGAATCGACGACGTCCGACCGCAAATTAGCCAATCTCAGCATCATTGGTGCCATAGAAGAATAAAGTATCAAACAGAACAGCACGTTATAGCGTTTCATAGACATGGGAATAAGCATGTGGTGGTCAACCGTCTTGGTTGGTCTGATCAAGTGAATTTCGTATTCACTGAGGCACGCAAAGGTTCTTCTGTCATCATGAGGTAACATGATGTAACCTTTCAGTGAGGTCGTCCACCTCTTCGTCTTAGTGGCTACCATACCTGCATCGGCCGAGTGGCTGCTATTGGTCAGCAACGAAGGGATTTTCCTATTCTGCATCGAGCTATCGTACTCATTTTGCGTCTCAGGAAATCGCTGACCGCGTAGCGTCGTTTTCATCTATTACAGTCTGTGCAGCGCGGTGGCTTGGCAACTCGTTGCTCACGGATGACGGCCATGCCTTACACGTGAAGTTCAAACGATGAGTCGTTTTGCGTTCAAATACCAGAAACAACGTCAATGCCATTCTAGCGCTCGTTGAGGTTCGTCGCAGGTCGACGATACCACCATTCTTCTCTAGGACACTAAAGAATACTGAGGATCAGAAACTTATTGCTCTACGAAGATTGCAGTCGCAACGTTGAGCACTTGTTGTCATATTATGCATTATACTGCACAGGAATACCACTGTGCGCTGATAGCAGACGTTTTTGCCTAATCGAATCAACTTGCTCCCCTCCTCTTCCTCAGTTTCAATACCTCCGGCAAGAATAACCACTTATTGTCACTTCTGCGTATTCATGCGGCGCATTCGCAGGACTTCAGGGTATTTTAAGACCTTCAGTGTATGGGCGCAAAACCATATGTATGTTGTTGGGTCAGACAATAGCCTGTTCGGACGCCAATGGACATACCTCGATCCGTAGGCAGGTGTAATAAAAACCAACCTCGGTATTATAGGTTTACCAGCAACGTTCCATTTTTATGACACTGCCGACAAGAGTAACAATGGCAACGATTGCAATATCCTGCCATTTCTACGGATTCATAAGGCGTATGCATGACTACGGATCGAGGTATATTTTTTCATGTTAGAACAAGCTACTTCTTTTTTGGCCTTGTTATTTTTCTTGGCTAAGCAGGTGGAAGTTGGACAACAGTGTCTTCGAATTTCATCCTTCGAAAGTCTCTGAATGGATACCATGATGTCGCAAGGAAACAGGACACTAAGACCGTACTGGTCACAAAGTCGTAGAAGTTGTGCCTCAAAAATATGGCAATTATGGCTAATGGCATCAGGGCGAAGATCAGAGTCACGCAATGGGCTATATAAAAAAGAAATGTGTGTCTCCAATCATAGAAGCGTAGACCGATATCCCATTGGCTACAAATCTGGTGGTTTACTTATCCCTCTGAACAGGGGATGAAACGAAAGGACTGATCGAGAACAACAACAGTCGCGAAACGTGTGAACAGCGTGACATATAACAAGTGATGCGGGAAACACGTGCTTCATGGAGAGCCACTATGACTCCACGGGTAGATGGCGGTAGTGGCCAATCCGATGTCTTCGCTGTCGATGTCCCCTGCTTCAACAGCAAGAGCATTGTTTCGTCAGGCTTAAGTCATCCAAACAGCAGGACGGACTGTCGTTAACCTAGTTTTCTCAAAACGAGTCCCACGGAGCGAACCGTTCCAGCATTATGACCCTCATCTCCGCTGCCTCACGTGCGCAATTACACAGTTTCAACAGCAATGGTTTTCTTGGAATCATACTACGCTCCTGCCATAATGCCATAAAACCGGTATTACGATACTTGCGTTCAACAATGCTTATTCAATACAATTGGATAATTTCTCATTAATGTATTGGTCGACCGATGACGTTTCACCATCGCACAGATTTCTCGGTAGAAGAAACAGTGACCTGACTGACTAAATGGAAGATTTATGAAATAAAGGAAAGCGGTATGGGAAGTTTAACTACGACAGCAAGTACAATTATGATTCATCGAATAAGTCCAGGAGTAAACGTGTACAAATTTACCCGCATGATTACCATACTAATGGTAGAGAGTCATATTGCTGTCTACATATCTGTTTGTTCGATTAACGTGGAAACAGTTAGCAGAAGACAGGGTTTTGCGGCCTCTCTCAATCTTGGAGAAGCCTTCGTTCAGTAGTTGACCGCGAAACGCTGGTGCTGTTGCTGATGATGATGACATTGGTGTTAATGATCGACTGGGATGAATCCATCCACTATGATGAGCATTACACCGGCTGGGGCAGTACATTAAAGCTGTGGCCACAGTACGCTTGGTAACCCTGCACATCAGACCGCTATAGCTCGGTTCGTACAGCGTCGAACTCGGTAACGAGTCATCGTCCAAAACGCAAATTACTGTAACAGAGACTGATATTCAAGCGGTTACAAACATTCCTCACTTTGTTTCTTTTTTGTAGCACAGATGGAAGAAGGGCCAACGGAGTTATCGGAACGATACAGTACTCGTCCAGCCACCATTGATCACGGACTTAATCCTGACATGTTTTATTAGGTGCTTCAGTGGCGAATTCAGTTCACCGTACCCCGTTGTGACCATGTGAGAAAAGGAAGGAGGAAACGACTTGACGAACTATGCATAAACGAGACTGCATGATGTTCTGAATATGGCGTAGTTGACAAATGCTAAAGATGTCTCCACCAAATTTAGAGTTCTCGCCGTGTCTAAAGGAACATAACGAAACAGCATGAATTAAAATAACAAAGCTTAAACCAAGCATACATCATATGTTCAATCAGAAGCACAGACAAAGTAGTGCTGAAGCTCACGATCGTCTTAAGCGACTATCACAACGGTAATGTTATACTTTGCAGTGCAACGATTAACTTGAAACTTCAACGGAATTATTGCAAGCCACATATTTAATATTATTTCGCAAAAAAACCGAAGAGATTTTTCCATCCATAATTCGCTTATGTTCTGATCCGGTGGACGACTGTTCATGGGCAGAAGTGATGATGAGCACTGCCTATGCTTGCAGGATATAGGGATCGATATACGAGTCATACTCATATGTGGATATTCGATAAACCGGCATTGCACCCAAAATGACCATCACCTTGATGAAAGATATCAGGCAACGACGAGAAAAACACTTTTCCACCTCTTGGATGGCCACGATCTCAGAAACCCGTAGTAACAACGTGGTCCACCAAACTAAGGACGATTGGCTGTCATTTCTCCAAATATTTACACGAAGATACGAAATAACCAGCTTATAAGATCACCAGCTTCCTTGAAGAGAAAATATCTGTAATAAGGTACTAATAGATGGCGCAATGAGAAAGCCGAAACAATGCCCCATAATAATAACAGTAAGAACAGTTAAACAAGAGCACGGTGAATACTGTATGTTTTTTGTACACTACTATCGTACTAAAAAGGAAACACTGTCTCGGGGTCGAAAGTTCTACCATTCAAGAGAAAGAGTTAATGCCTGTTTTGAATCGTCTATATATTGATTCTCAATCACAAACAAGAGTCTGCCATGTGATTGCTAGGGTAAACAAAACAAATTGAAGTAAAAACGAGAGTAAGACACATTGCAGGAGAAGTGAAACATCGATGAACCATAAAGGCGTTAGATATGGTTCCAAGACAAAGCAGATAACCCGTAGGAAGATCTCCATTGATGTCCGGATGAGCTGAAGAAGTTTAAAGGATAAAATTTGATATGATTTACAGAAAACGAGTTCATGGATCTAAAAAGGCTGATGATCATATAGTGATTCCGTTCAAGAAGAGTTCGTTAAGGGTCTTTTTGACCATCAAGGAAAATTACTATTATTAAACAGGAGGACTAGTCTTATCAGAACCTTCATAAAAGAGGTTTCACTTATAACCTGGTTAATAACGTTTGCCATATTCAGACGACTATACTAATTATTATTATATATTACACAACTACGCCAATTATTATTTACACTACTGCCTAACTGCCCAAAAATAAAATCTCACGGCATATTACACTATCTCTTGCTCAAAGTTGCCTAGATGATCATTTAAACATGCCACATAAACCGCTTCTCCGTTCAGCATGCTCTCTAAAGCCATCTCACGCACATGACGAAGGATGTTTCAGGAGCTAGAGGTCCTCAAACGCCAAAGCATGAACATTCTAAGTTGTTTGAACGCCGGCGGATGTGAGCTAAAACATGACTTCTCCAAAACCTAATTACAATACCATAAGTCCACAATTATTTATTTTGTCGTCACTCGAGGATCATAGCCTCTACTCACATTCTTACTCTTCTTCTACTGGTTTGAAATTTGCCTCTCATTCTTCACAGCCTTTCACGCTGACCCCAATTGGTACCGGCGATACACGCAGTTTTTGCTTTTCCTTTGTGAAATCGGCAAACACCGGAGGGCAATGCCCTCAAACATAATAATCTACCACTCCGAAGTCTCATCTGATTCTTCTTCAATCCACTGAAGAGCAACTTCAACAGGGTCACGAATAGTCAATAAAAGCGAATGAGCATAAATATTACAAATGACGATATGGCATAAGTATTCAGGTTATTAAGGTAATACGCGAAAGAATTACAGTTTGCCTTTTCGGTAAACGCTTACATACGGCCAATGTCTTCCATGGCAACCGACGCATGTGGAAGCATCCCAGTTTCATTTGCTTTACCTGTGAATTTTGTTCACTTATAGGTAAAAGTTATGGAAATAACTATATGTGGCTGGCACTGCAAAGGAACTCAAAAGCGAGAGATTGAAATATATGCCCTGCACAAGTGCATCGTTGCCAATAACTACGTCTACAACTGGGTTTGCAGCGAAGAAGTTGGAGGAGAAGATTCTAGAGGCGACAGTAGCGGAAAGAACCTACAGTAAGATAAGTGGACAAGAACAGATTAAGCAATCAGCCTTCCGTTACTGCCGCTGTTGCTGCACGATAAGACGGTTCCTTTGTCATATTTAGATGTCGCAAATCAAGGTATCAACCGAGCACCAATGAAGACTCGTCATCCCACAGGCGGCTCGCCACCAAGAAATGCAAAGTCGTTGGACGCGGGTCATGCGGCCGTCAACCCTTACGACATTATTAAAATAATAAATTAAAAGTTTAAGACCACTGCTTGGTTCTCTTTTAAACTTTCTCTAGAAGGAACGCGATACACCGTGAAAGCTTGTAGCCGTTGAGATGTAGGTCGCCCTTATAGTTTCATGAATGAGCGTCATTCGTGGCAATCTTCTTTTCATAAAGCCTATCTCACTGATCACTATAGCGAGTAGACTCCCGTTTCTTTCCAACAAAAGGGTACGCATTTACCATCCTCGGAAATAACAAATGGGAAGACCTCAACCGAGGTTCGAACTCTGTATCTCTCTGTGTTTTATGTCGGGCGCTCAACCGGTGTGCGACCCGTGTCTGGACACCGTCACCTGTTACGTACAAAAGCAAATGAACCAATGAGTTTCATCGCAGGAAACCACGGCCGCAGTCTGCTCTCTCCTGAACTGTACTATTCTCTTTCCTACATATATCAAGTAGGCTTCTCATCATTGCTGCTGCAACAGTAGTTTTCGCAAAAAAAGACCACCGTGAAATTCCTGCACACAACTCCCTCCCCCTGTGGTGGACGGTTATCATTTATGGCTACGAAAAGTGAGCTATCCCTTGGTAATTTAGCATATATTATGAGTGACTGAATGCCTGAATCATCAACTGGAGGAATTAACAGCATCAAGCAAAGAAAAGAGGCTATTCTAATATGATGATCATCAAGAAAATAGGCGATTAGTGATTTGACTCAGGCAGTGAGGGTGGAAAGGGATCAATGAGTAAAGGCATGTTAGCGTTTAAGTCGCATACTCATATTACCACAAGTTTAACCTTGAAGGTAAGTCAATAAATATAATCCCCATTTCAAAGAATAAACGGAATGCTACACGATTTGTCACAGCATGACTATTTCTTTAGGAGAAATGAATTGATTTTCTGAAGATTTCCCAGGAATGAAAAATGAAATTTTGTGAGAGTCGGGATATCAGTCTCCCTTACACTTTCATGAATCACACATGAAGCATATGATGACATGTCGTCAAGTAAGAGTGTCTTCTTGCTGACTTTTCTAAACTCATTTACCACCCTGGGAAAGAAGAAATGGGAGTGACCAAAGAGGAGCTGGAACTCGGGACCTCCCGATGTTGAGTCTGACGCTCTATACAACGAGCAATCTCCGTCAGTAGAAGAGAACGCTCTTTTAATTAGAAGAGTCTTCAGCGGATGCATAGAGCACTAAGAAGGTCAAGAGGTCATCGACATTGAATATGAACACTATCATCCAAAATGATAGGCGTTCTGACCGGATAGCCCCTGCGTGATTTTTATCAAGCCTGAATAAGGCCATAGGTTTCACAAAACTTGTCTCTGTAGGAAACATAAAGAACATTTTATTGACAGTTATATATAACAGTGTTGCACAAGAGGCAGAGGTTTGGGCTGGACTTGTCAGCCCTCTTCAGCTAAAATCTGAAGAAAGATATGAAAAAGAAGAAGAAATGCTGATTG